GACAGGGTCTTACTACATTGCTGAGGATGGTCTCGAACTTGAGATCCTTCTGCCTTAGCCTTCCAAATTGCTGGTATTAGAGGTGTGCGCCACTGCATCCAGCTTAATCTTCTTGTGTTAATGGGATATGTATGCACTTGTAACTTTAAAAAATGCAGTGATGTGACAATAAATGTGACACTCAAAATGCCCTCAAGTTTTACTACGTCAATGCAGTTTGTAGTGCATTGGGCAATACATGGTCACAACTACTCAGCTCTGCTATTATAGCACAAAAGCAGCCACAGACAGAATATCAATGAACAAGCATGGCTGCATCCCAGTGAAACTTTCTTAATGTACATTGATATTTGAATTTTATGTAATTTTCATGTATCATGAAATATTATTAAATACTATTCTTCATTTGATTTGTTTCAACCATTTCTTAGCTTGCAGACCATAGTAAAAAGGTGGATTTGGTTGGTTGGTTTGAATTGATTTCCAATGCACAACACTGTAGCTTTTGTAGATATAGTTTTATATTTGTTACAGTGCTATAACAAATTATCACAAATTTAGTGGCTTGAGAGAACACAAATTTATTCTCTTGGAGTTTTGGACCTCAGAAGTCTAAAACCAAACTCATTGACTGGCCTGGTTGCTTCTAGAGACTCCAGAGGAAAATCTATTTTTTGCCTCTGCCAGCTTCTACTATCATAATCTATTATGTCCTTGGCTGGTGACTGTATCACTCCAGACTGGGCTTCTGTCATCACATGGCTTTTTCTGTGAACCCTGACTAACTTCATCCCTCTTGCAAGGATCAGTGTTGCTGCATCAGGCCCACCCACTTAATCTGGGATATTTTCCCTATCTCCTGATTCTTAATTTACCCACATCTGAAAAGTCCCTTTTGCCACATAAGGTAATATATTCACAGGTTGCAGAGATTGATTAGGACATGGAGATGGGGGATCATCTCATTCAGCCTGCCACACCATATTTTTGTGCTCTTGATTCAGTAATTCAGCAGCTATATTCAAGGCCCTAATTTGCCCATTTCTCTAAATTCTGATAATCCTAGAGGCAGTAGATGGAAAACAAACTACTAGTTGCCAAGAGGCACACTGTAATAAGTGTTGCTTCTTATAAGTGGTTCTCTGGACTTATCTTGTAATATTGGAGTCAAGAAAGAATTTTTGATTTTATTTTCTTTTGTTTCATTGCTTCATTCTTTCTTTTTCTTGGTACTGGGAGTTGAAACTAGGGGTGCTTTCTACTGAGCTACATCTTCAGTCCTTTTTTAAATTTTTTATTTTGAAACAGTGCCTTGCTAAATTGCTGAGGCTGGCCTTGAACTTTTGATCATCCTGCCTCAGCCTCCTGAGTTGCTGGGATTACAGGGAATGTGCCACCATATCAGGCTCCATTGTTTCTTAGTTGCTATTTAGACTAAATATTATCATTAGAAGTGGAAGTCAGCTAGGCACAGTGGTGCACACCAATAATCTCAGTGACTCAGGAGGCTAAGGCAGGAAGATAGCAAATTTGAAGCCAGCCTCAGTAATTTAGCAATGCTCTAAGCAACTTAGTGAGACCCTGTCTCAAAATTTAAAAATAAAAAGGGCTGGGGAATGTGGCTCCATGGTTAAGTTCAAAGCCAGCCTCAGGAATTTAACAAGGCCCTAAGCAACTCAGGGAGATCCTATCTCAAAAGAAAAAAATAAAGCCGGGTATGGTGGTGCATACCTGTAATATCAGCTACTCCGGAGGCTGAGGCAGGAGGATGGCAAGTCCAGACCAGCCTCAGCAAAAAGCAAGGCACTAAGCAACTCAGTGAGACCCTGT